AGATAGATAGATAGATAGATAGATAGATAGATAGATAGATAGATAGATAGATAGATAGATAGATAGATAGATAGATAGTTACATCAAACACTATTCCCGATGAGTCCGGTCTATAAAAGCCCCGCTTTTGAAAATTACTTTACTGAGATGTTCCTAATGGTTCTGTTTTACTTCTTATAGAAGAACTTTTAAAATCAAGTTTTCTGGATATTTTAATGGATCTTTATCTTTTAAAGTATTAAAATGTTTATATTTCTAAGTGATCTACCAAAATCGTTAAATAATAGTGTCTTTTTTTATTATAATGGAACAATAATCATAAAAAACTACTTCCGTCAATAAAGGGACTCTAAAGAAAACTTGTTATAGTTTTTAAACTTTTTACAGATTACAATTAGCATAAAATTTAAAAAACCTTTTCAGGTGGTAGGGTGTACTAATATTTTAAAAATAAACAAATCTGTTTAATATTTTTTATGATTTTTTTTTATTCTTCTATATACAGTTTTATAAATATCATAAAATAACAGAAAGACAAGAGAAACAAATCAGCAAATTAAGGTGTGTCAAAAAAACACCACCAAATAATAGTATGAACGTTACAAATTTCAAGAACGTTGAAACAAAAATTCTAATTTCAATATGCAAAACAGAGTGAAAAATTTATCGGAACTTATAAAAAATGAATGTAAAAGTGTTGATTTTCAACTGTTGACTTTAAATGTTAAACACGTTTTTATATATTTCTTAAAATTTGACGTAATTTTTTCATAAGAAACTGCAGACTTTTTAAAAAATCTTTTGTTTGCTAATATTTTTGCAGTATTTTAAATAAATATTTAAAATTTTATTTACTTGGGGGGTACAGCTTAAAAAAAAAACGTGTGAACAATGTTTTTTATTCAAATACCGGCTTTTTATATTGATTAAATGAATCACCATCTTTGTGTCAAACAAAGAATGGTTTATGGCAAAAGAAATATACGTTAGTTTATTTTTTGTATACCATTTAATTATTGACATTATTTAAAATAAAGAACTCAAAAAACTAGACTTACCTTGAAATTTTGTAACGCTTGGTTAAAAGAGTACATTGACTCTGTAGAGTTTGTTTATTTTATTTTTTGCCATTTTAACACTTGATATTTGACACTGAAATTGAAATGAAATAAAAAAACAACGTTTAATTAAAAATTATTAAATTAATACTAACTTCTTTAAAAATTTTAAGATATGTAATATACATACTTCTAGTCTAGTCTATAGTCTAGTCTATAGTCTAGTCTATAGTCTAGTCTATAGTCTAGTCTATAGTCTAGTCTATAGTCTAGTCTATAGTCTAGTCTATAGTCTAGTCTATAGTCTAGTCTATAGTCTAGTCTATAGTCTAGTCTATAGTCTAGTCTATAGTCTAGTCTATAGTCTAGTCTATAGTCTAGTCTATAGTCTAGTCTATAGTCTAGTCTATAGTCTAGTCTATAGTCTAGTCTATAGTCTAGTCTATAGTCTAGTCTATAGTCTAGTCTATAGTCTAGTCTATAGTCTAGTCTATAGTCTAGTCTATAGTCTAGTCTATAGTCTAGTCTATAGTCTAGTCTATAGTCTAGTCTATAGTATAGTCTATAGTCTAGTCTATAGTCTAGTCTATAGTCTAGTCTATAGTCTAGTCTATAGTCTAGTCTATAGTCTAGTCTATAGTCTAGTCTATAGTCTAGTCTATAGTCTAGTATAGTCTAGTATAGTCTAGTCTATAGTCTAGTCTATAGTCTAGTCTATAGTCTAGTCTATAGTCTAGTCTATAGTCTAGTCTATAGTCTAGTCTATAGTCTAGTCTATAGTCTAGTCTATAGTCTAGTCTATAGTCTAGTCTAGTCTAGTCTATAGTCTAGTCTATAGTCTAGTCTATAGTCTAGTCTATAGTCTAGTCTATAGTCTAGTCTATAGTCTAGTCTATAGTCTAGTCTATAGTCTAGTCTATAGTCTAGTCTATAGTCTAGTCTATAGTCTAGTCTATAGTCTAGTCTATAGTCTAGTCTATAGTCTAGTCTATAGTCTAGTCTATAGTCTAGTCTATAGTCTAGTCTATAGTCTAGTCTATAGTCTAGTCTATAGTCTAGTCTATAGTCTAGTCTATAGTCTAGTCTATAGTCTAGTCTATAGTCTAGTCTATAGTCTAGTCTATAGTCTAGTCTATAGTCTAGTCTATAGTCTAGTCTATAGTCTAGTCTATAGTCTAGTCTATAGTCTAGTCTATAGTCTAGTCTATAGTCTAGTCTATAGTCTAGTCTATAGTCTAGTCTATAGTCTAGTCTATAGTCTAGTCTATAGTCTAGTCTATAGTCTAGTCTATAGTCTAGTCTACAGTCTAGTCTATAGTCTAGTCTATAGTCTAGTCTATAGTCTAGTCTATAGTCTAGTCTATAGTCTAGTCAATAGTCTAGTCTATAGTCTAGTCTATAGTCTAGTCTATAGTCTAGTCTATAGTCTAGTCTATAGTCTAGTCTATAGTCTAGTCTATAGTCTAGTCTATAGTCTAGTCTATAGTCTAGTCTATAGTCTAGTCTATAGTCTAGTCTATAGTCTAGTCTATAGTCTAGTCTATAGTCTAGTCTATAGTCTAGTCTATAGTCTAGTCTATAGTCTAGTCTATAGTCTAGTCTATAGTCTAGTCTATAGTCTAGTCTATAGTCTAGTCTATAGTCTAGTCTATAGTCTAGTCTATAGTCTAGTCTATAGTCTAGTCTATAGTCTAGTCTATAGTCTAGTCTATAGTCTAGTCTATAGTCTAGTCTATAGTCTAGTCTATAGTCTAGTCTAGTCTATAGTCTAGTCTATAGTCTAGTCTATAGTCTAGTCTATAGTCTAGTCTATTCTATAGTCTAGTCTATAGTCTAGTCTATAGTCTAATCTATAGTTTAGTCTATAGTCCAGTCTATAGTTTAGTCTATAGTCTAGTCTATAGTCTAGTCTATAGTTTAGTCTATAGTCCAGTCTATAGTTTAGTCTATAGTCCAGTCTATAGTCTAGTCTAAAGTAAATGTCACATAAATAATTAGCCATAGTTTTGTTTATATTATATATTATTTATTGACGTGTTATTAACAAAAATCCATATGTAAAAAACACTTAGATATATAATAATAAAAAAATAAAACAACCAAACTTGATAAATTTTTAATGACATACGTCAAAACCAACGTAAAGTAAACACAAACAAATTAATTAACACTGCGAAAAAATATGTATGTTAACAAAATAATATATACATATATAGACAGATTATATAAATGAAATACCAGCCTAAATGTAAAAATAATTTTGGTAATAAAAAAAAAAGAATATGGTTGGATGGATATAGAATATTACAATAAATGAAAACAAATTTCAAACAAACATATATTTAATTATCCATAAAAATGAAGGTTTTAAGAACATTAAATAGAAAGGGCAGTATTTTAATAATAATGAAACTGGTTATTTGTATTATATTCAGTATATCCGCCTTAAGAATACTCGTATAAATCTGTGATTACTTCTATTATACTCTTTACCTTCGTAAGAAGGGTATATATTTTAATGGGTAAAATTTATTCTGAAAAATTAAAAAAATTAAAACTATTTTATAGCAAACTATTGAAATGTTTTCAAGATTTAAACAAATATTTCAAAAATATTTTCCGCTATTTAGCAACAAAAGCATTATTTATGGATGTGGCCAAACACTTACGAGCACTTAGACTAAAAAAATGGACTTATTGTTTACAAATTTTTTTTTAGTTTAAAAATTTAAAAGCTTTGAAAAAATAAACAAATGCATAAAAATGTTTCACATAATTAAATGAAAAAAGCAACGTTTAGTATTAATACCAAGGCTCGCACAAAAGTGTTATATTTTCACTTTTGAAAAACACTAAAATTAACAGGAAATGTTATTAAAAACAAAGTTTTTTTTTAAATAAAACAAAATTTTATTCAAAGCCTTTACAAAAACGACCACCTAAAGTGTTTAGAAACTGGAAAAAATTATTGATTTTTTAAAAAAGTTTTTTCGATGAAGATTTCATGTAAATTATACTTATTTTTGAACTAAAGCCGCTTAATAAATTACTATAGATTTGTCATGAAAGAAAAAAGTTTTCGAAAAAACTTTATTTTAATTTTCAAAACCCTAAACAAGTTTTTCTTAAATTTTTTATAAATTCAAGTATTTTCTTTTCCATTTTTTGTTATTATTTAAACCAAAATTAAATATGTTAATTTGTAGTTTATTTTTAATTTATGCTGTCAAATCTTTTAGATTTTATTTAAATTTCTTAATGACATTTTAACGGTTGTTACGTTTTATTATCGTCATGTGTAGGCCCCCAAATAAAAAATCTCTCGCCAGATTTCTCAAGAGTTTCTATATTTAATGAATGAATTAATTTATTATAAAAGAACTAGTTTATTTAAATTAATTGTATAAAATTTCCTAAATAAGAAGAACATTTGATTTGTGCTCATTTATCTAAAATCAGAAGGTATGACAGGTGTTGTTATACAATTGTGTTGATTAATTTTTGATAGGTCATTTTTGAAAATTTGTTAGTTGGTTAGGTTTAACAAGAATCAGGAAATGTTACAGTATAATTTTGCATAAATAAAAATAATAATGTAAGAAAAACAAGGAAATAATCCAACTATAAATCGAATTTTTGGTTCAAAAATTATAATCAAGCCAGATTTAACAAATACCGAAGACTAAAACTTCAGTAATCGCATTTAATCGATGCGAATCTTGTTTCTTTTTGGAATGTATTCACAAACCGGTCTTAGTCACATTTCGCCGAACGACTGACTCAAAGTATTTGTCTCATCTCATTTCATACACAAATTTTTCTCTCCCAAAATCTGTAGTTAGTCGACCCAGAATGGAAACTCATTCGACACTCACTGACTGACTTCGATTTTTTATGATATCTATAGATATTAGATAATAATAATTATTTTTTTTCTTCCAGGAGTCTCTATTGGCAATAATACTGGGCTTTACAAACTTCACAACTTGGCGAATTAAATTTGTTATTAAAATGTAAGTATCATAATACATGAAGACCCAAAATCTTAATGGTAGCTCTCTCTTTTTACGATCAAAGTTATCTCGTCTGAACTACAGTCTAGTATGGACCATATTACTATATTAGTCCAGATTAGACCATATTACTATATTACTACAGATTAGAACATAGTAATAGACTAGACTACAGTCCAGACTATAGACCAGATTATAGACTATAGTACAAACCATATACTTGACTATAGTCCAAACTAAATACTAGGTTACTGTCCAGAATAAACTCTAGACTATAGTCCAGACTATAGACTAGTCTGTAGTTCAGACTGTAGGCTAGACCATAGTCCAAACTATTGACTAGACTATAGTCTAGATTATCGATTAGGCTATAGTCCAGACTATAGACTATACTAAAGTCAAGACTATAGACTAGATATAGACTAGACTGTAGTCCCGACTATAGACTAAACTATACTCCAGACTATAGATTAAAATATAGACTAGACTTTAGTCGAGAATATAGAGTAGACTATAGTCCAGATTGTAGAATACACATTATTCCAGACTATAGAGTAGACTATAGTCAACACAATAGAGTAGACTATAGTTTAGTCAATAGACTAGTCTATAGACTAAATATATACTAGACTATAGTCCAGACTATAGAATAGACTATAGTCCAGAATATAGATTAAAATATAGACTAGACTTTAGTCGAGTCAATAGAGTAGACTATGGTCTAGACTATAGAGTAGACTATAGTCCACACTATAGAGTAGACTATAGTCCAGTCTATAGACTAGACTATAGTCCTGACTATAGTTAAGTCTATAGACTAGACTTTAGTCTGGACTATAGTAAAGTCTATAGACTAGAATATAGTCTGGACTATAGTAAAATCTTTAGTCAGGAATATATAGGTATAGAGTATAGACTAGACTGACTTGACTATAGACGTTATTATAGTTCAGACTATAGACTAGACTATAGTACAAACTATAGACTAGACTATAGGCCGGACTATAGTCAAGTCTATAGACTAGTTTATATTCTGTACAGTAGCCTAGTATTTAGTTAGGACTGTAGCCAAGTATATAGTCTGAACTATAGTCTATAATTCAGTCTAAATTCTGGACTATAGTCTATAACAATGTTCTAGTCTGTAGTCTGGACTTTAGTCAATTTATTTTCATATCTATAATCTATAATCTGGACTGTAGTTCTGTCTATAGTCTGGGCTATAGTCTATTCTATAGATTGAACTATGTTCTAGTTTATGATCTAGACTATAGTCTTGTCTATAGTCTGGACTACAGTTTTTTCTATAATCTGGACCTTAGTCTAGTTTATAGCCTGGGCTATAGGCTAGTCTATAGTCTGAATTATAATCTAGTCCATAGTCTGGACTATAGCCAAGTCGATAATCTGGACTTTTGTCTAGTATAGGATATAGCCTAGTCTAACTATGAACTATAGTCTAAATTTTAACTGGACTATGGCCTAATCTACAGTCTGAACTATAGTCTATACTCTAAACTATAGTCCAGGTTTTTGACTGGACTATAGCCCAGTATATATTCTATAGTAAGTCTGTAGTAAAGTCTATAGTCTGGACTGTTCTAGATCGGAACTATGACATGTCTTGTCTTTTTATTCCTTTGAAAAACTATATTGTTTACTAAAATATTTATTTAAATCAAGTTTTCATAACAAAGTCACTAAGAAAATGTTAGTTTGAACTTTTGTTCCAAACTTTCCCAATATGTATATAATATCAGTCCATGCTATCTACAAATTAAGAAAATAAATTGTACACAACAATTGTCAAATATTTGAATAATTTTTTCTTCTTTCTCTTATTTCAAAACTTGTATAATTTGTTAACTGTGTACACACACACAGCACACAGATTTTAAATGATGACAAAATAATTTATTTATAAACATTTTCTATACTCTCCACTTGTTTTGGTAGATTTTACTTGGTGTTTGTCTTTTGTCGTTGCCTCATTCAACGTCATCATTATAAACATTTCATGCCCCCATAAACCCACTATAAAAAGGAAAATTTTCAAAAAAATTTCTGACAGATGCAACCAAAAAGAAGCCAAATATTTCTTGTTTTTTTTGGTTTTTGTGCGCTTGAATAAGAAATAAAACTATTTTTATTAAAAACGAAAGAAACATGAAAAAGAGCTATGAAATGTATGAAATATTTTTTTTTAATAAGTATGCAATTGTCAAGAATTTTGTATATGAATATGTATAAAAAATGTTGATGATGTTAATATTGACAGTGTTTAGGAAGAGAATTTAAATAATTTGTAGAAAAATAAGAAATTTCTTTCAACATTTCAAAGAGTTGTATTTATATTATTTTGAAAAATTATAAAATTGTTGCTGGAGAAAATATGATCTAAATATATTCAAATTTTAGAATTTAAAGCGATTTGTTTTTAGCATTTTAACTGTAGCAACATGTTGCAGGATTAAAAATATTTAGCAACATTTAGCAACAAGTTTTTCAAAAAATTTTCAATTATATTTATGTATATCTGGTTATTAAATGAAATAGTGATGTTAATAAGATGTTACTGACTTATGTTTCTATTTTCATCAAATTTCATAAATTATTAAATCTTTCATATCATAGCAACATGTTGCTAACTGAAATTATTTGCACCTCAAGAAGTTTCTGAACAACAAACAACTTGTTTTTCATGTTTCTTTATTTCACATATTTCTTTGTCCAACACTTTTTTTCTGCTTCGTTGCACTGTGCTCATAAACAAGTCAAAACTAGCTGAAATATTTCAAATGTATAAGACATTTGGTTAAAGCTACTAAATATTTTTCTCTCTCTTTTTTCATACACATAAAAACAACTATTTTATTTTGTTTCTTTTTTAAATTTCTTTTCTTCAAAACACAAAGAACATTTATTTAGTTGGAATCGAGTCATAGTATATGAATAATGTTGTTGACTTGCTATTGCTGCAGCAGTTGCTGTTATAGCCATTGTTATGACATACAATAACAATTTCCTTTTCTTTCCATTTTCTGTGTTTTTGTGTTTTTTTTGGTGTTGCTAGTGAAGAATTTTGTAGGCGCTATAGTTAAAGGCAAGGTATTAACAATGGTGTAAACAGTTTGGACTCTGATTTCAATAGTTCTATTTTAAACTGATTTAATCTAGATTTAGTTTCAAGCAACATGTTGCTAGCAACAGTTCAAGCTTTATTTATTTAATTTCAAGAGAAACGTGTTTAGCAACATAAATGTATATGTATAATTACTCTATTATTGCTTTATTTTACTAAAATTTATATGATAGATTATGAAACGACATGTTTAGCAACATGTAAGTTGTTGCTAGCAATATTAAAATATTTTTTCTATTTTCTTCAGCCACTTGTTACCCTTAATATACATAAATAGTTTCTATACTTTTTGTTAAAGCATTCCCCTTAGTCGTTTCTAACCTCCAGATTTCAGCCTACTCTCTACTTAACAAATGTTCTGCTATTTGTTTTTTTTTTCTATATATTTAAATTGTATACTTAAGAAAAATGTTTATATTTTGGTAATGATTTGGAAATAATTAAGTAATTTATTATACAATTTTGTAATCATATACACATTTTAAACATAATTAATTACACTCAAGATTTAAAGGAAATGTCGCCGCTAAATACTTAAATGTTAAGCAGCAATTTAATTAAGTAATATTAAAAAGATTGGAAAAAATTATGAAAATTTTGAAACACTTGCATGTCAAGCTAACATATCGCATCTCAGGGGTCAGCGGCTGTTCTAAGTGATAAGAAAACTTTCACAATTAAACTATTTGAGTGAAAATTTCATATATTTGAATTCAAGTAAAATAGCATCCACTTTGGACGCTATAAACTTGACTACACCACAGACTATAAATTAGAATATAGACCTGACTATAGACTACAATGCAGACTGAACTATAGGTTAGACAATGTATAGACTATAGACTGACAGTAGACTATACTAAAGAATAGACTATAGACTAGACTAAACTATAGACTAGACTACAGACTAAACTACAGACTAGACTACAGACTAGACTATAGACTAAACTATAGACTAAACTATAGACTAGACTATAGACTAGACTATAGACTAGACTATAGACTAGAGTATAGACTAGACTATAGACTAGACTATAGACTAGACTATAGACTAGACTATAGACTAGACTATAGACTAGACTATAGACTAGACTATAGACTAGACTATAGACTAGACTATAGACTAGACTATAGACTAGACTATAGACTAGACTATAGACTAGACTATAGACTAGACTATAGACTAGACTATAGACTAGACTATACTACTAGACTAGACTATAGACTAGACTATAGACTAGACTATAGACTAGACTATAGACTAGACTAGACTAGACTATAGACTAGACTATAGACTAGACTATAGACTAGACTATAGACTAGACTATAGACTAGACTATAGACTAGACTATAGACTAGACTATAGACTAGACTATAGACTAGACTATAGACTAGACTATAGACTAGACTATAGACTAGACTATAGACTAGACTATAGACTAGACTATAGACTAGACTATAGACTAGACTATAGACTAGACTATAGACTAGACTATAGACTAGACTATAGACTAGACTATAGACTAGACTATAGACTAGACTATAGACTAGACTATAGACTAGACTATAGACTAGACTATAGACTAGACTATAGACTAGACTATAGACTAGACTATAGACTAGACTATAGACTAGACTATAGACTAGACTATAGACTAGACTATAGACTAGACTATAGACTAGACTAGATAGACTATAGACTAGACTAGACTAGACTATAGACGAGACTATAGACTATGACTATAGACTAGACTATAGCACTAGACTATAGACTAGACTATAGACTAGACTATGAAGATATAGACTAGACCTATAGACTAGACTATAGACTAGACTATAGACTAGACTATAGACTAGA